AAAGCTGAGGAGCAATTTACAGCAGATTTGCAATCTGGGAGGTGCACTGTCCCAGCCATCAGCTGACTGCACCTGGCTATTCTGGCATTTCTGACCTGCCTGAAGGAACTTTGGGCATCTCCAGGCACTTTCTCCTCTGGACAGCTCCTTTGATCTGGAAGTCCCAACACCTAGCAGTGGGCTATGCATCACCTGACCTTGACAGCCAAGTGCTGGGAGATGGTTCCATCTTACGGGTAGAGAAAATACCTTTAGACCTCTAGCTCTTGTCTTAGAAGAGTCACCACCTGCTTACTGAACATGCCGCTGGCTGCCAGGTCTGATGGAACCTTAGTGCCAGGCTAGCTAACTTGAGTTTTCAGGTGTTTTATAGATAATTAGCACCTGTTGCATCCCCAGGACCTGAGGACTATGCCTTGAGATATAGAGCCCTCCTAAGATGATTGTTGAAACTCTTGAGTCCTGGTGTGGTGCTGTAGGATAAGCACTGGACCACAAGGTTGATTTGAACCACAAGATTGAGGGTTCAAACCCACTAGCCACCTCTCAGAAACCCTATACAGGGTTGCTAAGAGTCGGAACTGACTCGACGGCACTTAACAACAACACTCTTGAGCCAGTGCTTCTAAAGAGTACTTCTTCCCAAAGTCTCACTGGGCTGAGTAGAGGGTAATTTAATAGTTGTCAAGTGCTGGCAAGTTTTTTTCCAACTCAGCAACCCTGTATATGTTTCCAAGGAGCAGTTGGTATGTTTGAACCCCCAATCTTGTGGTTAGCAGTCTAGTGCTTATCCTACAGTGCCACACCAGGACTCCCATTAAATACTAGTTGATGTTGTTAAGTGCCATCCCCACAACTGACCCAGAGTTTTCTAGATAGAACTGCTAAGGTCTGAATTGAACCCATCAATTTAATTACATTGAATTTTATATTTAGAGAAGCAATATGCTCTGTGGGAAACAGCAAGAGCTTGGGATTTGAAGTCAGAGCATCTTGGGCTCCCGTCCTTGTTCTGTCATATCTTAGTTGTGTGATCATGGACAAGGCCCATAAACTCTGAGTCTCAGTTTCCCAATCTGTAAAGTGATGACAGCAATAGTACCTGCCTTGTGTGTCCAGGTGTGGTGCTGTAGGATAAGCATTGGACTGCTAAC